TTTTATGCGAATCAACTCACTGTAAGAAATTGACTTGTGAAATTTGGAAAAGTGATTTTTCAAATTTTTACTGTAACACAGTCAACAATCTTTCCAGTTCCTAGTCCGTATTTCTGGTCGAATCTCAAACAGCTAAAGATTGGTAGAGTAATGCAAACCGGCCAATTACGATTTCCGAACAAAGGTCATCTACACCTAATGCATACAACAAACCAATAATCGGATGCATGTTTTATTAACATATGTTTTGCAACTCAAAGAATCTAAAAAATAAAATAAAAGATTAATGTTAGTATATATTACTTATGCAAATGCAGTGACATCCAAAATTGTTCCTAGTAAATAGTAATATTCAAAATTACAAATTTCAAATATTAGACCAAGACCTTTTCTAAAATTCATAACAAGATTCCAGACCAATAAGAGGAAAATAGAAAACAAAATGAATGTCAAATATAATCAATAAAAATCAGCTTTTTAATTCTTTTAACTTTTTACAGGTAATGCCAATAATTAACATGCGTATGTCAAGGACCATATGATGGGTCGTGATAACCAGGCTCGAAGTCATGACGAACATGACGCTTGCTTGATGTGCTTGATTATAACTTTTTCCCCCAAATTCCACCTGCCTAGTGATTAGATAACATAAGTTTTAAGTAGTAACACATCCTACTTGGTGTGCTTTTGGTACAGAAAGTGGAATACCAAAACAACATATTAAACTAACTAATATGGAGCAATATGGATTAACCTTTTTGAGGGAGACATCCAAAAGATATACAATGGTAGTTGAATGAGAAAACATACCAGTTTCTTGTTTTATCAACACTTTCACATATTAAAGAAAGGAATTTGATTTGTGCTAATACAGATTTAACTACTAATGAAGTGACAAATAAGAGTGCACGTCTAGTTCCGTGGAGTTTAGAAATTCTCAATCAACATTAGACCGTAAAGGATGAGTTATTTGTGATTAAGACAGAAATGACGATGATCCTTCTTCTTTTTTTCAAATGTGAGCAAAGCCACTTACCTAACAATTCACATAAAAAAAAATGGTAGCAGTTAATGGAATGTCTTTTTTATGAAAATGACTCACAAGTCTAGGGTGGCAAATGGGCGGTCGGATCGGATATAGGCGGGTTGAAAACGGGTAAAGCAAAAACGGATAAATTATCCGATTCGATCCATATTTAATACAGATAAAAAAATTGGTTAATTAGCGGATAATATGGATATCTTTATTATCTATGGTTTCTTGAATATGATCACTTTTAAAAAATTCCTAGTCTCCCAAATTTGAGGAACCCTAATTTGAGTCTTTACAAATGTAAAAGTTAAACTCAATAGTTATCCATCTTTGTATGGATCTTATTCATATTTGACCTATTTCTAAAAAATTCGTTATCCAACCCATTTTTTAGTGGATAATATGGATGATAACTATATATATATATATATATATATATATATATATATATATATATATATAAATCTATTTTGCCACTACTCACAACTATCTTCAAACTTTTAAATGCATAAATGGCTTTTCATATGCTGCACCCATGCATGTTATTAATAATTTAATTGTTACGTTAGGTATTTGTAAAAATTGCACGGGGCGACCTATCTGGTCGCCCCCATTTAACCTATATCCATATTTTTAAAATTATTTAACCTATACCCTAATTTTAACAACTTCAGACGCCTCTCTTCTTCCTCCTGACCTATGCGTTCCTTTCTCCCTCCTCTTCTTTTTAAGAAGAGGCTGAGAGCAGTTCAATTTAAATGATGCACTGCTATGTTTGAAGTTTGTAATACTGCAAGCGAACTTCAGAGCGAGTGTCTGAAGTTAGTACTGTTGAAAAATAAGCTTCAGATACGAGGGTCTGAAGTTTGCTTTGTCTAAGAACCATTCAAGTAGCCTACTGTCAGAGCTATAAAAGTAATGTCGTTGATGCTCTCTTTGTGTGTTGCAAGTGAATCTGTTCGATTACCTGAGTTTTATATGAAAACATGGTTCTGTTGCTTTCGAAAGATTTAATTAATTGATCTTCTTTCTCTCATATTGAACTGAAGTTTGCCCTTGCTATGAACTGAAGTTTTCCTGATTGCCTTTGTAAGTCAGACCAAACTTCAAGCAAAAATATCTGAAGTTTTGCTTTGATAAGGCTACACTTCAGGCACAAAATTCTGAAGTTCAAACTTCAGACATACACGATTGAACTAAAGTTTGCCCTTGCTTATGAACTGAAGTTTGCGTGATTGTCTTTGCAAGTCAGGCCAAACTTCAGGAAAAAATATCTGAAGTTTTGCTTTGATAAGGCTACACTTCAGGCGAAAAATTCTGAAGTTCAAACTTCAGACATACACGATTGAACTGAAGTTTGCCCTTGCTTATGAACTGAAGTTTGCGTGATTGCCTTTGCAAGTCAGGCCAAACTTCAGGCAAAAATATCTGAGGTTTTTCTACACTTTAGGCAAAACATTCTGAAGTCAAACTTCAGACATAAATTTTTGCTACTTGCCCGTATGTCTGAAGTTACGCGAAAAGTGGGTACGATTGCAATTTTTTTTGGAAAGTGGGTATAAGTTAAAAAGTGACCCAAAAAGCGGGTATAGATGCAAATGCTACAAAAATTGCACGGGCCGCCCTCCTCCCTTCCC